CAAAATTCATGTCTACCTGGAACCTGTGAATATGATCTCATTTGGAAATAGAGTCTTTGTAGAATGTAATCAGATGAGGTTATTTTGAATTATAGTGGTCCCTACATTAGATAATTGGTATCCTCAAAAAAAAAAAAAAAAAGCAAATAAACAGACTTGGAAGAGGCCATGTGATGATGGAGGCAGAACCTGGAGTGATGCTGTTGCAAACTAAGGAATGCTAAGGACAACTGGCAAGCCCTAGAAGTTAGGAAATGGTAAAGAAAGATTCTTCCCTAGAACCTTGAGARAAAGCATAGCCTTGTGACACACTGATTTCAGATTTACAACTTCCAGAACTGTGAGAAAACACATTTCTGTTGTTTTAAGCCACCTAGTTTATGGTATTTTATTATAGCAGCCCTAAGAAATTAATGTAGTATTTATTGATCACCAAAACAAAATGTAAACATTCTGGCTCATCTCTCACCAGAAAAAAGTACCTTATATTCGTTTTGTTCTATGGCTGAATGACAGAATGTAGATTCATATTCTGATCTTATTTAATATGGAGTTCCTAAGAATACATTTTAATAGTGTTTTAGTTTGTTTTCAAGTGACCAAAACTCAAACAGATTTTTTTTTAAATGTGTACATTATCTAGCCCCAACTGAGTCTTAACATTACTTCAACTCATATAACTGAGGAGACAAAAACCTTAAACCAACAACCCAATCCTAGAGCAATCCCAGAACAAAAAAGAACTATACATGTAAAGACACATGTATAAAACAGGAAAGGGAACAAACCTCAATTGATGCCCAAGTCTAAGTCCTCTGAAAACACAAGGAAAGGGACAAACAAACCTCCCTCCAAAATTCACAATCCCACAACAAAGGATCCCATGCATAAGAAAGTGAATGAAACTCCAGAGAAAGATTATAAAAAACTCATTATTAAAATATTCAGTGAACTAAAAGAAGATCTAAGGAATGAATTACAAGAACAAACACAAACACGAAAAACTATTTCAATAAAGAAATAGAAATATTGAAAAGAAACCAATTAGAATGCCTAGAAATGAAAGTCACAAACAATCAAATTAAAAATTCACTTGAAAGCATCACAACATATTATATTGCATAAAAGTAGAATTTCAGCCCTTGAAAAACAGAACTTCAGGCCTTAAAAGATAGGGTACATGAACTTGAGTACACAGTATGCAGTAAATGGAAAAAAAAATACAGAACATGATCAGAATATACAAGAACTCTGGGACAACATCAAGAAACCAAACCTGAGAGTCAATGGGACAGAAGAGAACATAGAGATACAGGCTAAAGGCATTAAGAACATTTTCAATAAGATAGTAACAGAAATGAGATCGGCATCCAAGTACAGGAGGTGTAAGGACCCCAAAAAGACCAGATATGAAGAAAATTTCTCCAAGACAAATCATAATCAAAATGCCTAGCATAGAAAATAAGAAAAGAATATTAAAAGCTGCAAGAGGTCACAAAGGCAAATCAAAAAGGCTCATTTCTTACTTCTCAACTTGAACCCTAAAATCAAGAAGGGCCTGAAGTGAGATATTCCAAGCTCTGAAAAAAAAAAAACCAAAAAACAATTGCTACACCTAGCAAAGCTCTCTTTCATATTCMATGGGGAAATAAAAACCTCCCATGACAAGAGTAAACTAAAAGAATATATGGCCACCAAGCGAGCACTACAAAGAATACTCACAGATAAACTGCACCCTGAGAAACCCAAAACCAAATCCCAGAACTCCCAAATAGATGAAGATCAATAGAAGATTAATCATCTAAATGAAAATCAAGACAGAATTAAAATAACAAAAAATAAAAATGGTAGTAAACCACAATCACATATCCATGATAACACTGAATATAAATGGTCTCAACTCCCCCCAAAAGACATGGATTATCAAAATGGATCAAAAAGCAAGATCCAGTTATATGTTGTTTGCAAGAGACTCATCTCATAAGCAAAGACATTCACAGGTTAAAGGTAAAAGGATGGGAAAAAATATTCTATACAAACAGGAGTCTGAAAACAAGCTGGAGAAGCTATTCTCATATCTAACAAAATAGATTTTAAGCAAAAATTAATCAGAAGAGACAAAGAAGGCCACTACATCCTGGTAAAGGGAACAATCCAACAAGAAGATTTAACAACAGTAGATATATATGCCAGTGCAGTAAAATGTCAGTGCACCCAATTACATAAACAAAGAAAATACTCACTGACATTAAATTTCAGATCCCAATAAAATAATACTGATGATTTCAACATATACTTATCACCAACAGGTATGTCATCAAAGCATAAAATGAATAAAGATATAACCAAACTAAATAATATTATAAATCAAATGGTCCTAATAGACAGTTATAGAATACTTCACCCTAAAACAGCTAAATTTACYTTCTTTTCAGCAGCTCATGAAATCTTTTCCAAAATAGACCTTATTCTAGGATTTAGCAAATACAAAAACAAAACAAAACAAAACAAAAACCCCTGATACAATCCCATGAGTCCTTCTGGAATGAAACCAGAAATCAACAGCAAGAAAAAGAATACAAACCACATAAATACATGGAGATTAAATGATATTCTTTTAAGTGAAAAATGGACCAAAGAAGAAATGAAAGAAGAAACTAACAAATTCTTACAAACAAATGGGAACAAAGATACAACATATCAAAATCTCTGGGTCAGTAGAAAGCAGTACTATAAGGAAAATTTATTACATTGCATGCCTACATTAAAAAGTATTAGAGAGATTTCCAAATAAATAAGTTTATGTTCTACTTCGAGGCTTAGAAAGGAAGAAGAAACTAATTCCAAAATCAGTAGAAGACAGGAAATAATAAATATCTGAGCCAAAATTAATGAAATAGAGAATAAAAAATACACAGAATAAATGCAACAGAGTTGGTCTTTGAAAACATAAATAAATATGACCATACTACCAAAACAATACACAAATTCAAAGCAATCCCCTTCAAAATTCCAATGGCATTCTTCACACAGAACTAGAAAAAACAGTCCTTAAAATTCAACTGGGAGAATAAGAGACCAAGAATAGCCAAAGCAATTATAAGCAAGAAAAGTTAAGTGGGAAGCATCACAATAACCGATCTCAAGCTATACTACAGAGCTATAGTAGCAAAAACTACCTATTGGCATCAAAATAGACATGAAGACTAATGGAATACAATAAAAGACTCACAGAAGAACCCACATRCTTACAGCCATCTTGTACTTGACAAAGGTGCCAAAAATATATGTTGGAGAAAAGACAGTCTTTTTAACAAACGGTGCTGGGAAAACTGGACATCCATATGTAGAAGAATGAAATTATATCCCTATCTCACTCTGAACAAGTCAAATAAAAGTAGATCAAAGATTTAGATATTAGACCAGAAACCTTGCAACTGCTAGAAGAAAACACTCCATCATATAGGTACAGGCACTGACTTCCTCAACAAATCCCCTAAAATTCAAGAAATAAAACCAAGAATTAATAAGTGGGATGCCACCAAATTAAAAAAGTTTCTGCATAGCAAAGGAAATGATTAAGAATGTRGAGAGAGAACCTACAGAAAGGTAGGGGGGAACCTTGCCAGCTACTCTTCTGACAGAGTATTCATAATCAAAATATAAAAAGAATTCAAAATATTCAACACCAAAATTACAAATTACCCAGTCAATAAATGGGCAAAAGAAATAATGTTTGTTTGTTTGGTTTTGCAGAAATTTCCCCAAAAGAAGGCCAACAAATATATGAAAAGCTGTTCAACATCTCTAGAAATCAGGGAAATGCAAACCAAAACTATATGAAGATTTCATCTTACACCAGACAGAATGGCAATTATCAAGAACACAAATAATAAATGCTGGCAACAATGTAGGGGAAAAGTACATTGATACATTGTTGGTGGGATTGCAAATAAGTACAATCACTCTGGAAAGCAGTATGTAGATTCCTCAAAAAACTAGGGATGACACCACCATGACCCAGCTATCTCACTCCTTGGTATTTATCCAAAAGAACTAAAATCAGCATACTACAGAGATGCAGCCACTTCGATGTTTATAGCAGCACAATTCACAATAGCCAAATTATGGAATCAKTCCAGATGCCCATCAACAGATGAATGAATCAAGAAAATGTGGTATAAATATGCAATGGAGTTTTACTCAACCATAAAGAATGAAATAATGAAACTTGCTAGTAAATGGATGGAAATGGAGAACATCATGCTAAGTGAAACAGGCCAGACTCAGAAAATCAAGGATAGAATGTTTTCTTTCATATGGGGAAGCTAGAGCAAATGAAGGGAAAGAAGAGCATTGTGGGAGTGGAGGTGAGAAATGGGATATTATAAATATATAGGAAAAATCAGTGGAGTACAGGGAGAAAAAGAGAGGGAGAAAGGAAAGGAAACAGGAAGAATATGAAATAAATTTAATAAAATCATGTTATATACATATATAAACGTACCAAAGGGACTTTCACCTTATGTATGTGTAGAAAGTACCAATCAAAAATAAATAAATAAAGGAGTAAAAGGAAGTTCAGTAGAGTAGAGGAGGAAGAATAGGGTGAAAGAGAAGGGGGAATGGGGATTGAAATCAAATTCCTTGCAAGTATGATTTTGTTAAAATGAACTCAACTACTATGTATAATTATGGTTTAATAAAAAACACTAAAAAAGTGTATGTGTGTGTGTATGAATATGTAATAGATCCCAATATTATGTAAAATTATAATGTACTAATGGAAAAAAAAGAGAAAAAAGCTAATAAAGTTTGGATCACTAAAAAAAATGTGAGTCTGAGTGAGAGAGTAAAAGAAATAAATTTCATCATATCAGTAAACATTTGACTGCCCATTGTGGGTAGGGCACTAAAGTGTCATAAAATTATTTTCAGAGAAACCTAAACTCAATGTACAACTTGTAATTTTTTTTTCAGAAATAGAAATAATCACTTACCATGGTATTACAATCTCGATTAGCTTGATTTTGTTCAAAAGACTTAATTTTATTGGAACTCATTTCATCAGTGTCAGCAATGACATAATGTCTAGGTGAGTAAGCACTGGACAAGCTCCCAACCAGCCTCAGGATCTCTGTGGTATGACCACCTGGAAAAAATATTGGAAGGCCTAAGATTAATAAATACACAATGGACATATCCATTTGACCAAGTTATACTGATATCATGTTTTCAAAGATGGGTACAGGGCTTAAAAGATAGGAAGACACTGAAAACAATAATCTGTCATTGTATAAACACTACTGTTATAGAGGGAAAAGATAATGTATAAAAATAAATTTGACATTAGCAGTAGGTACCGAGGAAGGTATAACAAAGTTCAAGATATAGTTCCTGTAATTAAGAAGACTGATAGGAAAAGGTCAAGACACACACCATAGAGTAAGATAAAAAGGATGCAAGACAGCAAGAAAAACTAAAATGGGAATGAAAGCAAGTAGATATCAATGTCCTAAGAGTTTGGAAGATCTGGTAAAGGTTCAGGTAACTCGAAAGGTAAAGATAATGAACTGACAGGAGTAGGGAGGCTACTGGGAAGAGATAGGGATTGTTAGAGCATGAGATGAAGATCTGAGATGTGTTCATGGAATGATGTGAATACTGGAAAGAAAGGTGAAGATGAAGTAAGATCAGGAAAGTAAAATGAAAGCAGTTACTGAAGACTTCTGTATAGAGAAAAAAGTAAAGGCAAGAGCCCTGGCCAGCAGGGCTTGGATCTTCTTAAGGAAGATTTTTTTTTGTTCACCACTTCCTAACAGAGGTCTCAGCACACTGCAGATCCTCAAATATTTACCAGCTTCACCATATTTATTTTTTACTTTGGATTTTTTGTTTGTTTATTTTTGATGCTGGAGATCGAATCCAGGGCCTAGTACTTCCGAGGCAAGTGCTCTACTGAGTCCCCAGTCCCAACATTCAGTTTTTAAAATCATATGATCTCCAAAATTTTAATACCTTAATTTTAAAAGCATGAATTTAAAAGCAGAATAAAACAGACACTAGTATTGCTGTATGTATATACGTGACTATATCCAATGTGATTCTGCAACCTGTACATTCAGAAAAATGAGAAATTATACCCCATTTGATTCAAATATATGATATGTCAAGATCGTTATACTGTCATGTGTAACTAAAATAAATAAATAAATAAAAATAAAATTTAAAAAGATAACTACCATCATTTCCTCAGTATCTGTGAAAGATTATTTCCAGAATAGACATGAAACCAAAATTCACAGATGTTCAAGTCCTCTAGAAAAAATGGTATAGTATTTGCATACAACTTACATACTTACTCCTGCATATTTTAAACCATCTGTAGATTACTTATAATGTCTATTATAATGTAAATGTTACATCATTGTTACAATGTATTATTTAGGAAATAATGACAAGAAAAAAGTCTGTATATGTTTAGTACAAATGTAATTTTTAAAAAATATTTTTGATCTGCCATTGGTTGTATGCAAGGATAGAGAACCCACTGGACATGGAAGGAAAGCTAACTGCATGTTCACCGTGGTTTATTTCGTGCAAACAACAGCAATGAAAGAATATCTATCACAAACCATTTAAGCTCAATAAGGAACTATATTACACCTATTTTAGGTTCATGTCACAAGCTCTGTGCTTCAGCCAGGTTGATGTCTTCATCATTCTCTACATTCATCTTGTTTGTTACCTCCTCTTTCCTTTGATCAAGAGGGGGACCCCTTATCCCACCTCCTTTATGATTCTAAGAATGAGTTTTTAATAATAATAAATACAAAGAAATATAATCAAACAAATTAAGTATGGGTTTCCATTCCACACACACACACATATATATATATACACACACATATATTTTTTTAGTTGTGTATGGACAATTAAATTATTAGCATACTCAATAGTCTGCCTTTATTTTATTTAGTTTTATGTGGTGCTAAGGATTGAACCCACTGCCTCACATACGGTAGGCAAGCGCTCTACCATTGAGCTACAAACACAGCCCAAGATATCTCTCTCTCTCTCTCTCTCTCTCTCTCTCTCTCMCACACACACACACACACACACACACACACACTTTTTTTTTTTTTTTTGGTACTAGGAATTGAACTCAGGGGCATTCGACCACTGAGCCACATCCCCAGCCCTATTTTGTATTTTAATTAGAGACAAGGTTACACTAACATTTTTTTAACAGTAGGAAAGGAGTAGTTTCTTTCCAGATTCTAGAAGGAATTATACATAGAAAGAAATGTGACACAGACTAGTGTGAATGTCAAGAATTATAATCACGGGGCTGGKGATGTGGCTCAAGCGGTAGCGCGCTCGCCTGGCATGCGTGCGGCCCGGGTTCGATCCTCAGCACCACATACCAACAAAGATGTTGTGTCCGCCGAGAACTAAAAAATAAATATTAAAAAAAAAATTCTCTCTCTCTCCTCTCTCACTCTCTCTAAAAAAAAAAAAAAAAAAAGAATTATAATCACACACTGACTTCATAGAATTTTAAAGTAAGAGATGACAGGGGTATGTAATTTACACATCTGGTTTATACTCATTTCGGTATTTTTATTTTTAGCCTTGAAAAGTGTTGTGGTTTGCAAAGTGGGTACTTGTTTTCAAGCTGGAACAATTAAGGATAAAACCTAATATTCACAACAACTTCCACTGCAATGGAAACTTCATTATACCTGATTTAATAGTCTTCTCTCTCAAAAGGAAAACTTCAGTAAGTACATTCATTGAAAATTTAACTTTCCTACTGAAGTCATTAAAATGATGAACTCTGGGTCTATTTTAGTAGATATATTATTGAGGAATACAATCATCACAATTCTACCTTAAAATATATACAACATCTAATCACTTCTCACCAACTCCTTTGCTACCATTCTGATCCAAGCCACTGTCACTTTTCACATGGATTATAAACATAGTTTCCTGGTCTCCACCCTACCCCCTCATTTCTCCATCAGGGTATTCTCAACACAGCATCCAGTTGAGATCCTATTAAGAAGAGTTGACTGAATTATTTAGCTCTGCTTAAAACTCTCCAATGGTGTTGTGTCTTATGTGGAATAAAAGGCTTTTTGTAATCTGGTTGCAATTTCTGCTCCTTTTGGACCTTATCACCTGCCTCTTTCCCCCTTATTTAGTCTACTCTGGTTACCTCTGACCTCCTTGCTATTGGATATCTGTCATTTTCCCAGGAGGTATTCCTTGACAATTCTTTTTAAATGCTACTTCTCCTCCCATGTCCTAGTATTTATCACTACATAACTTTACTATGTAGTCTTATTTCTTTCTTTTGCCTTTTACATACCCCAATGTCTACCCCACTAGAAGGCAAACACCAAGGCAGGGGTTTTTGTTCATTGTTACTGCTGTACCGCCAGTGAACATAAAATACTATGCCTTCCTATTGTTGAAAGAATGAGTTCAATATTAAATCTAAAATTTGCCCAAGGAGAACCCACTGTGTATCAAAGGAAAAGTAGTATATTTTGAGAGATGTCCTCTGAATATAAGTGCTTGACTAATAATATTTTATGGTACCTAGAGATCAAATGTTGCTTGGTTTTCAAGGTGAACTTTGAAAATACTTTTTCCCTCCTCAAAAAAATTCAGCATAAATTATTAAATTTATTTGATTACAAGTGGTTTTTTTGACTTGCATGATTCTTGAAGGTCCTTGATCCCTCCCTACCCTGAATGTGTTGAATGAGGGAAGACACCACTTGTCAGATGAGTTTTCAACAATTTTGGATTCTAGTCCACCAAGTCCAATATTTCCAAGTGAACAGCTTTAACATCTATCCATTTGTTTAAATCAGAAACCTGGACATCATCCTTTAGCCTTTCCTTGTCTCAAGTTCAGATAAAGTGGTGCCCTTTCTGAAGATTGCATAGCCACAGCACAGCTGTGCACTTCTTCTACAATTATATAAGATTTTTAGCACTTACCTCATTGTGGCAAGTACTCATTTTGTATTGTTATTTGTTAGTCTTTCTGTATTCTCTATTTCATCCACTGTTGTATTTTTGTGTACTTCTCAATGCTTAGCACATAGCACTCCATATAATATTAGTCAGTTTTATTATTTCCAAAGCTTAGCTTAGTGCCTGGCCTACCTTACAGCTCAAAATAAACACGTTAAATGAATAAAGTAATAAATTATATTTATAAATTTGTTCATACTTTAAATATTCTATTTGCACACAATCTCCTGGTATTTCCAAATGTGTGTGTGTGTGTGTGTGTGTGTGTGTAGTCATGCACTACATAATGATATTTTGGTCAATGATTAACAGCTATAAGACAGTGGTCTCATGAGATTATAAGGGAATTGAAAAATTCTTATCATCTAGTGACATGGTAGCTGTCATAACACAGTAGCTACAAGGCAATACTCACATGTTTGTGGTGCTTCCTGTCATAAAAGCATAGCACATACAATCAATATTATGTATTATCTAATACATAATATTAGATAATAAGTGACTTCTACTGGTTTATTTACTATTCTTTTTATTAAAAAATAAAATAAAATATATCCTGTTAACAGCAGCAGAAGCCTCACCTATCTCATGTTTACTGCTTCTTAATTGTATCATTTTCTGTTGTGTTTGATTTAATCTTGTGTTGTGTTGTTCACCATGGCCCTAGGACTATACCATATATACGCATACCAGAGAGCCTCGGTGTGTAGTATTCTATAACTTCTGGGTTTGTGTAAGGATCTCTCATGATGTTTGCACAAGGGCACATTCTTAAAAGGTAAGCCATGCATGATTATGAATATATATATATATATGTGTGTGTGTGTGTGTGTGTGTGTGTGTGTGTGTATGATATTATAAGGGACAGGAATATATTCCTACCAAAATTGTCCATTTAAAATCGTAAATGCCTTCAGAGCTGGTAGATATGGACTGTTTACCTGACAGAGGACAATTTATTGCTCATATTCTGCCACCCTGTATGCACAGTTCTACGATCTGTAGTCAATGATTTTGACCTTGTGGGTGTTGTATATTTAGAAATGAAACAATTCACTTTGCTTCATTTACTATTTAGTATTCGTGTTTCCTAAACGAAAGACAAAGTGCCTACATTAATAATGCACAACAGCCAAACAGGAAAACTGTATGTTAGCATCAAAAGCGTCGGCGTTCTCTGTTCACTAATTATTTGTTACAAAGGAGAGGCTTAATTACAGACAAGTGTAAATTACTTATTATTAAAAGGGAAGGAGCCGCGTCAGAAAACTGCATTCCCCCCCCCCCCCCCCCCGGGCTGGGCTGATTCCGGTACCGCGGAGAAACTACAAATCTCAGCATGCATCGCTCCAAAGAGCGCTAAGGAGGCCAGAGAAAGCGTCGCGGTGTACTCTGGGGTGTGTAGTGACCGACCCAAGCCCAAGAGGCACCGCCGCGATACTTACCGGACCCTGCCACCACCAGAAGACTGAGAGACTCCCGGGRCGTCACGTCCTGGGGCCGAAGCACTATCCATAGTCGTAGGACTAGGACCACAGCCACAGCTCCGAACGCTGCAGCTAAAATTTGAAAACACACCATGCAAAGGAAGGGCGCATGCGCATTATTCCTGGCAGGAGCAGTCAAAGTTCACAACTACAGGCGCTGAGGAGACCCAAACTTCGAGCAAGGCATTCTCGGTGGGCGTGGCTATGCCGAGGTGGGCGTGGCTGCAGGCCGGAGGGAAAAGTCCCGGCTTTGCGGACTTTTGCGGCTGCCCTGTTTGATTCTGCTAGGCCTCCTTCCAGGCATAAACTGAAATTCGGGATGTTAAACGCTGGAGAAGTTTGTTTTCCGCCAGTGATGAGATCAGGCCTCCTGCACTYCCGAAAGACCCCCCAAGCTCCCAAGTTAGGAGGTGTTCCAGCTCTGCCTGCCAACTTTGGCCTGAAACTAACACATACATCGCTTTTTTCTTCCTTTCCTCCCTTCCGCTTTTTCCATCCTCTTTTTCCTTTTCTTCTCTTCCCTTCCTGAACTGTTTCTGTTGCACATACCAACATCACTGAGAATGTTTTGTCAGTAAAGATATCCTAATGGGGAAAAACAAAATGAATTTAGGTTCTTGTGTGAACCCGCTCTTGCCCAACACGCATTTCTTGAATTTTTCCAGGTGATCTCACTATACGGACCAGAGTGGTTGAGGGTGATCACCTCACGCTACACCATGTTCCGGAGAGGATTGCAAGCCCAGTAGCTCAAGGCAGCAGGAGAGAGAAGTCAGAGTCCTACAATTATTATTCAATTGATTTTACCTCAAAGCATTCCGAGTTTGTTCCTCATGGCCTCAAGAAAAATCATTATCTGCCAATACTTCCTTCACTCCCACTTTTGCTTATTTTTGTCTGCTTAATCCACATTACAGCAACAACAACAACAACATCAACAACATCAAAAACCCTAAAGTTAGAGAAACCCCTTCACCTCAAATGTGATTGCCTTTGGACGCCCACAGACTTGTAGTTTAGATAGAACAAGCATGCAGGTGAGAAAACAGGTGCAGAAAGGTGCAACAACTTGCCTAAATGGAATAGTGTCATATCCAGAATTAGAAACCAGAAATCCTAACTCCTGTAGCCTATGAGTACTATATAGTGTATTTCTTTGGTCAATTCAGACTTGCCTGATGGTCACATTTACCCGGAGCCTAGAATGTGTATTTGAAGGGACAGCCTTCCAGAGTCCACCAAAGAAATACTGGTGATAGTGCTTGGTGCCCAGTAGTTGAATCTTCAGGGGAGGTGATGGGATCAGTTTATAAAACCAGGTGTTAATTCCTGAATTAGCAGGCAAGTTTGGGAATCTTTTTGGCTACATCTTTTTCTGGCTTGTGAATCTCAGCACTCTATGTATTCTTCCATCCAATCCTCTTGACCCTGCATCCTCACAATAAGGCCAGTAAGGTGATATTATTCCTCTCTTTATAAATAAAGAAGCAAATTTCATACAAGTTAGATAATTTGCCTAAGATTTCTTAGTTGATAAATAATGGAGAAAGTTCGTAGTTGTGGATTTAGAGGTCAGTGTCTCAAATTTTGATGGAAATCAAAATCCCTTGGTGGACTTAACAAATAAATACATTGTTGAAAGTCTCCAGAAGAGGGTCTCCAGAATAATATGAAAAACAGTTCAAGAATGTTACAATGTCATTTTTTTCATTTACCGTCTCTGCCATTCTCAGAAATGGCTTCAACCTAAGACTCTCTACCTTCATGCTTAAAAGAAGACATAAGTGGCCCTACAAATTACATCCACACAGAGCAATCTCCAGAGCCATAAAAAAGGTTATCTTGTCATTGGATCCTTTGTTTCTCCTTAAGGTCGAAGAGATCTTTCCCAGAATCCCTCACAAMAAACTTGTTTTTCACTCGTTTATACCATTTTCATATCACTTCCCCATGAATAAAAAGGAAAAAGACCCCAAAGGCTGGCAGGGGTAGGAATGGAGGATGACATACAATTCTGCTCTAGCATATAACATTAGGTGCAGGATGGGTAGTGAACAAAATGGAAATTCTTTTGGAGAACAGGAAGTTGAATGTAGGAGGCAATAGTGTCTCAATTGCTGTGAAGATAATGTTTCTTTGTAAACTGACACATGCAATGTGGATGTCAGGACTATAATAATTACTTGGCTTCAAGCTCCAAGTTCCATATTAGGGAAGACTTAATACTGAGAGGATACTGTTGCATCTAATATTATCCTATCCCCTCATTACTATAATCACCTATATCTGTAGGAAAAATATCAGTTTGCTCACACTTGGTATAGAGCTAGAATTGAATGGGGGCAATCAAGTATTTAGGGGCTGCCAGGTAATATCAAGAATCAGGATGATGGAATAGGTAACATTGGAGTTATTAAGTTACTCTAAATTAATGAGAAAGTCAAACTGTTTGGTTTTCCTGTCAAAGCAGTTGAGGTCTGCAAAGAGGAGTTAGGTAACAGGCCACAGACAGGAGCAAAGCTGAGAATCCCTGAATAAAACTGTCTACAGGGTGGGCTGAGTCCTGGGCTGTGACAGAATGTGTAGAAAATCAAGAGGTCAGGAAACTGTGTTGGGTTAATCAGGAAAGTTAAGACAGAGCCAGAAGAATCAGCAACTAAAATTGAGACAATGAGTAAAAGGTAAAAATTTCATGAAGGCAAATTATAGTGCTATGTAAAGCATGAAAAAATACAATAGTTGACAAAATTAATGATATGTGGTTCATAACCAATCTTAAGTAGTCTATCTGGGAAGTGATTATTATTTTCTTACACCTTTCCAACGTTTCCATGRAAAATATCTACTATTCATGCATATTTTTAAGTTTATTTAGAAGTTCAGACTTTTCATTTTTTTGTAGGATTTTTGTGTGTTAATTTATTCAACATATTTAATGAGTATATGCTATGTGCTAGACACTATATTAGGCACAAGGGATATAGTATAAGTAGGGCAGTAACCCAGCCAAGAATCTTGGACGAGGGAGATGACAGTGGAGGTAGAAGAGGGCAAATTTGAGACTCATTTTATGGGTGGAGTCAATAAGACTTGTTAATGGGTTAGATACTGGAGATGAAGAAAAGGGAGAAATCAAGATGACTTGTGGATATTTTGGCTTTAGAAATGGTTAGATGGTRTAATTTGCTAATAGATGGACTGGAGTAAAACTAAACTTCTGTGGGGAAAGGAGGAAAGGATGAAAATGAAGTGTTCTGTTTTGGATTTTAGTCTGAAGAGCCTGTTAGAAATCCAAGTGATTATATTAAATGGGCAATTTTATGTATATATCTGAAGCTTGAGTCAGACATGAAGGTATAAATTTAGAATTTATTAGTATACAGATAGTATTTAAAGCTATGGAGTAGGGTAAGATAACCTGAAGAAAGAGTTTAGGACAGTCATGTACAATTGTTGATGAAAATGTTTTATATCTGTGTTATATGTGATATACATGTGACTATCGAGCTCTTGAAATATGGCTGTTGCAATCAAGTAACTGACTTTCAATATCACTTTACTTACATTATTTTAAATTTGAACAGATACATGTGGGTTGTCGAAACTGTATTGGATAGCACAGGATAAAGATGAGACTGGGGTTGCTAACATTTTGAGATTTAGTAAGAAGACATTGAGGCCGCAGAGAAGATGCAGAAGGAAAACCAGGGAGATAAGAGAAAAAAAAAACAGAAAAGAATGGTATCCACAAAAACTAAGAAGGGAAAATGATTTAGGAATGAGACTGCAGTCAATTATGTCACCTGTTCCTGAAAGGTGATATTAGATAACTTGGGAGCAGGTTAGTCACTGTGGATTTAAAAAGCATCATTCCATGGAATGGTGGGGATGGAAAGCAGAGCATGGTAGTGATGCACCACGAGCAGAAGAGAGAATGGGGGGTGAAGACAATCAGAAGTTTCTCTAGAATGTTGTTCCAAGCTTTTCTTTGATGGACAACAGGGTGGAATTGGATGGAATATGGAGGAGAATTTGAAATTGAGAAAACTTATTTTATAAGATGGGATTTTCTTGACATAGCAGTGTTTGTTGATGATGAGACTGATAGAAGGAGTGACTCTTATTCAACGGTAAGGATAGAGGTCATGGGCATGGGTGAAGATACAAAGGATTTTGTAGAATTGGTGGTAAATACAGGAGAGTGTGGAGACTGGGGGGTGTAGAGTGTGGGAGGCTTGAAGAGAGCAAAGGTGTAAAGTAATAAATCTTGAATAATTGGCATACTCCCCAGGACCAGGATAATATTAAAGTGTTCATTTGAAGCTTGTGATAACAAATGTACTGAGAAGTCAATCAGCATAATTTTACGTATTTCCCCCCAATGGAAAAGACACATAATTGGCTTTAAACAATTAGAATTTTGACAAGTGGGACACTAGAGAGAGAGAGAAAGTTCTTTTCAAGGGAGTGAGGTGTGTGAAAATTTCTGTGGGTGTAATAGGAAGTAAAGATGGGAGAGTAGAGGTGGAGGAGTGTAGTATTTATGGTATGACTGTTAGAATGAATGAAAAACATCAATAGGGGTATCTGATGGGTGGAAAGGATGATAATAAGCTAGGAGCTCTGACAGCAAACAAGAAGAGCATAGGGCCATTTGTCCCACCAGATCGATTCTCCATGCTTGTCTTCCCAACTCATGCCATGTTAGCTGAAATCAGTGGACTAAAATCAACAGGTTTCTCTGCATCTGGCTGGGTTTGGCCAGTGGGGATCTTTAGCAGAAGATTTTCGAGAGGGAAGGTTATATCCCTGAACTTAAGGTCTCTGCTCTTTCCATGGCTTTCTCTATACATACCTCTCCTTCTGGGTYCCAGCACTTCCTTTGTTCCTTCTGTCTCCAAAGTGATACTAGCTCCATTGTTACTGGCCCTGGGATACTGCATTCACTATTGCTTGTACTTTCCCTACCCCATTCATACCTTTGTAAATTATGCCTTTATTAAATCATCCTTAAATTAACCTAATATCATTGTGCTATCTGTATCCTATCGGGGACACTGACTAATCCAAGGGTGTACAACTATGTGACAAAAACTTCAAAGGAACTGGAGTTTTTGAG